CACCAGCACCACCACGACTACTACTACTACTACTACTCCTACTACTATTATTAATGTTACCAGTACAGTTTAAAGTTCTGTCGAAACCATGTTGCAAACATGCCGTGATGTCTTTGCTGCCTTAAGCCCCATGCAGCCCGATGGTTGGGGCTTCCGTGCATGGCACTCTGATTTAGACAGAGTTCGGAACGCGCAACTAGTGGGCGTACCTTAGGGTTCAGGGTTTAGGGTCATGGGAACTTAGAAAGTAGGTCAATAATGGGTATAATTGGGATTATAATTATTCTATGCCTGATAGGGGTTATTAACCTACTTACCTTACTGAGTCCCGCTGACCCTCCAAGCCCGCCCCCCCGCCCCACCCAAAGTGGGGAGCTCTCAAAATGTGGCACTCATCATTTTCAGAAACTCCCCAGGCCAGGGCCCCTAACTCCAACTCCTAAACCCTAAGCCCAAAATCCCCCAGACCCTAAACCCTTAGCCCCAAATCTCTCAAACTTGCTGTTGAGAAGGCAAAGGGCTCAGCTCGGATCTGTCTAGCCTTCAGAGCCGCCAAATCAGCCTGTCGCAGTCGGGACTCCCGTCCCCACGTAATCCCCTCCCCCTAATACTACATCCCTCCCCCACTCCCATTAATATATAGTCCACGTTGCGGTATAGTATTATATATTGGGGAGTAATTCATAATATTAGGGGGTGGGATATTAGGGAGGGTGGGGGGTTTAACATTAGCGGGCGGGGATGAATACTACTTTTAAAACATTCGAACAATTGGAGCACCATGAGGCATACTAGCATTTTAGCTGAATGCAAGGGCAGTGGCTTCACAAACTAGCTGATGGGAGTTGTCTTTAGTGGGGAATATGGGACTACAATGTCAATTTAACCCCCTCCTAAACCCTAAACCCACATAAGTGGATGTCAAAATTATGGTCCTCTTTTGGGTACCAAAAATATTAGGTGCCGTATTATAATAGGGATCCAAAGGGGGACCATCAATTTTGACAACGACCCATATAATGTATTCCTTTATTCCCTTCTTGGAACCAGTAAGTACTGGGGATCCGAAGCCGAGGTCAGAGCAGAGGCCGAACCCCGGCGCCAGCATCCTAAGCCAAAACCTGATCCTCCGATCCTCTCCCCTAAACCCTAAACCCAAATCCCTACATAAACCCTAAACCCTAAACCCAAATCCCTACATAAACCCTAAACCCTAAACCCAAATCCCTACATAAACCCTAAACCCAAATCCCTAACCCTAATCCCTAAACCCCACCCCCAAAAAAATACCCCTTGAGAGATCTAGGCTCCATGAACGAATGTGGCTGATGTCAGCCAGACACGTTACTACGCAGATTAGGGTTTAGGGGCCGTTGTTACATCGTTCTACTCCCCAACTCTGTAGCCACATGAGCCATAGTCTAAACTCCTAGTATCCCCGTTAATAACCCCTATGATACTCCTGTATATGAATCCCGTCCCCTATATAACCCCTTTAAGGAGTTTAGACTAGAGGTGACATCCTTCTTTTCTGCCGGATGGAGGCCTGAGACGAGGAGAGGTTGGCCTGTGTGCGGAGGAGCTCTTCTGCCTGGGGTCATCCACACAGGACCTACTGGTGCCTTGAAGGATGTGAATGCAAGGATTACAGCAGGGTGCAGGGAAGATCTGCAGGGATTCACAGAGAAGATGGACATGTTGCTTTTGAGATCTGCGATGCGTCTATAACCGTACACACCATGGAACGCGACTAAGTATTGTGGCAATCTTGTGGCTGAAAATCGATGAATTCCGCTGCATTCACTGCGTAAAGAATGCCACAGCTGGAGGACAGGCAACAAAGGCCTGGCCAAGTCAACCCATGGCCAAAAAAAGCCTGAAGAGACGATACATGTTCATGCACTTTGGGTGCCGCCATGGATCGGCGGATTGTGCTTCAGACTGTGCAACGGCGACGGCATGCTTCGTCAAATTCCGCCTGTGCTCAAGAGCATCTTGCGTAAGTGCTGATGAAAGCTGCTCACCAGAGTGATCCGCAGCGAGTATTCTGCGTTGGCGTTGAGGAACTGACGTTCAACTACCACGGTATCGATATGTAGTACATACTGGCCTCCCTAAAGAGAGCTTAATTGAAGTTGCTCAACAGCAACCGAGTACTTCAACTACTTGTTCTGTCCACTAGCTGCAGGGTCAAGTGGCTGAGCGATAGCAGTCTCGATCTCGGAGGACATCTCCGAGTGTGACTCCATGATCTCGGACCTGTGCTGGTCTGGTAAGATTCGGAGAGCTCAGGTCTCCGGCTGCTGACTTAACTATCTATGCTGTATTATATTATAGTAGTTTCCATTGTCTTTTCCAGTATCCCAATATAACCCCAATATATACCCCATCATGTTATAGTAGTTTCCACTTTCTTTTCCATTCTCCCTATATATCCCTAAATAATACCCCTATATGAGCTATAGTCTAAACTCCTAGATTCCCCCTGAATAAGCCCTATTCTTTACCCCTATATAATCCCCTATGTGACGTCAAAGAGTTTTCACTATAGCTCATCTGGGCATTCAACCCCAAACCCTAAACCCTGGCATTCGAACACGGTAAGGTTGCTGCAAGTGCTGTTGAGCTGTGACATGCTTGGCCCGGATGGTTGCAAACTCCTCCTTCGACAGGTTCCTCAGCTGGCTTCAATGCTCCTAATCGATGTCTGTAAAGGGACTTTACTGTGAAGCCCAAACAGGGAACCCCACGAATATAGTACGAATGTAATAGGAACATGCCTACCAGGGTCCCCATACTATAATATTCCTACTATATTCTTGGGGTTCCCTGCTTGGGGTTCCCAGTAAAATGCAGTAGAACCCTTTTAGGGTGTTCCTGATGGTACAATGGCTTGCAAACAAGAGAGCTCCAGATTCATCTCGGCATGTGTTTCCTGCAGGTCATCGTGCACCTGTCGGAGCACACGCAATTTGTTCACGAAGCCTTTGCCTGCACATCTGCTGTCCAAAGTTACATATTTGTGTCAAATAACTTGCGCATTCCTTATGCGTTTTATTGCGTTTTCAAGTAAGCTTGATTTACACACACACACACCCACACACACACACACACACACACACACCCACACCCACACCCACACGCACACGCACACGCACACGCACACGCACACGCACACGCACACGCACACGCACACGCACACGCACACGCACACGCACACGCACACGCCCACGCACACGCCCACGCCCACGCACA